CGCAATAATGAGAGTGTGTCCATTCATTGTGACATCTTGTCCTACCTCTATTTTTGTTTTTTGTTTTTTTCTGATTTTAACTATGGTCAAATCCAGCCCATTGGCTGTTTTTTTATAAATAAAATTTTATTGGAACACAGACATGCTCACCCATTACATATGGCTTATGGCTGTTTTCATTTTACAATGACAAAATCGAATGGTTGCAATAGAAAATATATGGCCCACAAACCTGAAATAATTACTGCTCGACCCAGCCCTTTACAGAGAATGTAAGACTGGTTGTCTAAAACTGGCAAATCTTGTTTGGGTTTGGAAATGGAAGGAATGTCTAATAGTTTATCTAAGGAGAAATTGCCTTACAGGTGAATAACAGAAATTTCCCAGGATAGGATTGCCCTTATTGGTTGTTATCTCTTACTAAGAATTTGGAGAATCTGCTACAAAAGATCCTTTTTAAAGTGTTAAAAAGTAAGGATGTCACTTTGAATACTTGAGGTGTGACCCAAGCCATGGTATTTTCAACCATCGCATATGCATTTGAAAGCTGGACACTGAGTAAAGAATTGATGTATTTGAATTATGGTGTGAGCAAAGAATATTAAATATACTATGAACTGCTACAAGAATGTACAAACCCGTCTTGGAAGAAGTATTGTTAGAATGTTCCTTAGAGACTAAGTTGGCCAGACTTTATTTCATGTACTTTGGATATGTCATTCGGGGGAGGGGGGGGACCAGGCATCAGGCTTGGTACAGCGAAAACGAGGAAGACACTCTGTAAGATGGAGTGACACAGTGGCTGCAACCAAGGACCCAGAAGTGTGCACCATTGTGAAATGGTCTGGGCCAGGCAGTGCTTGCTGTTGCTGTACCTAGGTCACTGCGCGTGCGTCAGAACCACAAACAGTACTGTGATCAAAGAGGAGGAAGGTATAGGTACCAGAGAAAACTGTTTTGAAATTGCCAATCTTGGTGACCTCATGATTTCCCCCCCCCCCCAAAAAAACCAAACTCACTGCTATCAAAATGAGTTTAACTGCCCTATGGGACAGAGTAGAACTGTCACTTTGGATTTCCAAAACTGTAATCAAACTGCCTCATATTTTCCAACAGAGCAGATGGGTGGGCTCAAACTGCTAACCTTTTAGTAAGCAGCCAAACGTGTAACCCATTATGCCACCAGGGCACCTGACAATCGTCTTGGGAGGAAGTTCTTATTAGGTGCCCTGGAATCAATTCCCACTCATAGCAACCCTGTCCACAGCAGAAGGGAAAACTGCCTGGCCCTGCACCACCCACAGAATTCTTCTGTTGCTTGAGCCCATTGTTCCAGCCACGGTGTCAGTCCATCTCCTTGAAGGCCTTCCACTTGTTTGCTGTTGTTCTCCTTTACCAAGCATGATATCCTTCCCCAGGATTGGTCTCCTGACATGTCCAAAATCTCGTCATCCTTTCCTCTAAGGAGCACTCTGGCCTTATTTCCTCCAAGCGTGTTTTGTTTGCCCTTTTGGGAGTCCATGGTACTTCTGAGTATTTTTTGCCATCACAATTCAAACGCGTCGATTCTTCTTTGTTCTCCCTTATCCAATGTCCAACTTTCACAGGCATGTAAGGCAGCGGTTCTCAACCGGTGGGTCGCAGCAATCCTTTCATAGGGGTCACCCGATTCATAACAGTAGCAAAATGACAGCTATGAAGTTGCAACGAAAATAATGTTATGGTTTTGGGAGGGGGGCGGTGTCTCCACAACCTGAGGAACTGAATTAAAGGTCATGGCATTAGGAAGGTTGAGAACCACTGATACGAGGCAATTGAAAATACCATGGCTTCGGTCAGGTGCACCTTAGTCCTCAAAGGAATACCCTTGCTTTTTATTTCTCTAAAGAGATCTTGGGCACTGGGTTTACCCAGTGCAGTGTGTCTTATGATCTCATGTTTGCTGCTTCCATGAGCATTGATTGTGCATACAAGCAAGACAGAATCTTTGACAACTTCATCTTCTCCACTTATGATGTTACCCCTTGTTCCAGTTGTTAGGATTTTGTCGTAATCCACATTGAAGGCTGAAATCCTTGCTGTTCTTCAGCAAGTACTTCAAGTCCTAACTTTCAGCAAGCAAGATTGTGTCATCTGGAAATCACAGGTTGTGTATAAGTCTGCAGTATTCTTCATATAATCTGCTTCTCTAATCGCTCAGCATAGAGACTGAAGAGTTGTGCAGCCCTGACACACACCTTCCCTGATTTTTGAAATTTGTCTATTCACACAACTGTTCTGCCTCTTGATCAATATAAAATAAACATCTTTCTGGTATTCTCTGCTCTCAGCCACTCATCTGACATCAGTAATGACAGGTCTTTTTCCACATCTTCTGAATCCAGCCCGAATCTATAGCAGCTCCCTGTCAATGTACTGCTGCAACCATTGTTGGATGATCTTCAGCAAAATGTTACCTGCATGTGATACCAATGATACTGTTCTATAATTTGAGCATTCTGTTGGGTCACCTTTCTTTGGAATGAGTACAAATGTATCTCTTCCAGTCAGTTGGCCAAGTAGCTGTCTTCCAAATTTCCTGGCACAAATGTTTGCTTTCAGGGCTTCACCAGCTTGTTGACACAATTCATTTGGTGTCCCATCAGTTCCTGGAGCCTTGTTTTTGGCTAATGCTTTCTGTGCAGCTTGAACTTCTTCCATTAGTGCTATTGGTTCTTGCTCATGTTACCTCCTGAAATGGTGGAATGTTGTCTAGTTTTTGGTAGACTGTATTCTTTCCATCTTTTGATGCTTCCTACATCTTTCAGTGTTTTGCTCACAGAATCTCGTAATATTGCAATCCCAGGCTTGAATTTTTCTTTAGTTCTTTCAGTTTAAGCTGAGCATGTTCTCCCCTTTTTGTTTTCTAATTCTGGGTCTCTGCCCATTTCCTTATATTTTACCTTGTCTTCTGGAGCTGCCCTTTGAAATTTTCTGTTCAGCTGCCTGACTTCATTCTTCCACGTGCCTTGGCCACTAAGAACAAGTTTCAGATTCTCTTCTGATAACCACCTTGATCTTTCATTTCTTTACTGTCTTTTTAATGACCGTTTGCTTTCTTCATAAATGATGTCCTTGATGTCCTCCCACGGCTCATCAGGTCTTCTGTCATTAGTGTTTACTGCATCAAATTTGTTCTTGAGATATTCTTGTAATTCAGTTGGGATAGACTCAAGGTTCTTTGGTTCGTGTGAACTTGGTTTAATTTTCTTCAGCTGCAACCTGAACTTAACTTATAAGCAATGAATGGCCTGTTCCACACTTGGCCCCTGTCCTGGTTTTAGCAGCTGATACTGGGCGTCTCCAGCATCTCTTCGCACAGATGCAGTCACTTTGATTTCTGTGTGTTCCATCTGGAGACGTCCATGTGGGCAGTCACTTTTTGTGTTGTAGATAAAAGGTATTTGCTATTAACAAATGTTCTTTTAAAATTCTGCCGTGTAATTATTAACAAATGACAATCCCGAAGGCTCCATTCACATCACCCTGGTCAACTCTTTGAGGAAGCAGCTTTCTCTTAGTCACATCGTCAGTGCCCTCCGACCCAGGGGGCCCATCTTCTGACACAATTTATGACAATATTCTGCTTCAATTCATTAGGGCCTCAGTATCTGAAAGTGTTTCCATGCTATGTATAAGGTTTTCAGCAGCTACTTACTCTCAATTGAGCAGCCAGTCCCTTGTTTGTAGTCTGTTCTTGGTCTGGAAGCTCTGCTGAAACCTGTTCACTTTGAGTGACCTTGATGGCATTTGAAATATGTGGCTTCCACCATAAGAGCAACACACAAGCCACCAGAGTGCGGAAAAACTGACAGCTAAGTGATGGATCATATACCTTTCCTGAGTTTTAACCCACGCAGGACTCCCTTATTCGGCTCTTATGACTGCCTCTTGGTTCATGTACTGGTTCCACATGAATACAATGAAGTGTTCTGGAATTCCAGTTCTTTGCAATATTAACCAGTTTGTTATCCACACAGTGGAATGCTTTTGCATAGTCAATAAATCACAAGTAGACATCTTCCTAGTATTCTGTACCTTTAGCCAAGATCCACCTGACATCAGCAAAGATATACCTCCCTGCCATGTCCTTTTCCGAATCTGGCTTGAATGTCTGGCAGCTCTTTGTCAATGCACTGCTGCAACCATTGTTGAATGATCTAAAGCAGTGGTCTCAACCTTCCTCCATGCCGCGACCCTTTCATACAGTTCCTCATGTTGTGGTGACCCCCAACCACAACATTGTTTTCATTGCTACTTCATAACTGTAATTTTGCTACTGTTATGAATCATCTGGCGACCCTGTGAAAGGGTCGTTTGACACACCCCCCCTCAAAGAGGTCACAACCCACAGGTTGAGAACTGCTGCTCTAAAGCAACACTTTACTTGCTTGTGATACTGTTCCTGTTCAACATCTTCCACCTTCTGTTGAGTCCCCTTTCTTAGGAATGTGCACAAACATGGATCTCTTAGTCATTTGACCTTCCAAATTTCTTGGCATAGACCAGAGGGTGTTTTCACAGCTTGTTAGTTCCTGGAGCCTTGTTATTTGCTAATGCCTTCATCGCATTGCTCCTTCAGTGTCTGGTCCCTGATCATATGTTACTTCATGAAATGATTGAAAATAACCACTGCGCCACCAGGGCTCTTTGGGATGTACAGAATAGCTCTTTGTAGGCTGAATTGGGTGAGCAGTGTGTGTGTGTCCTCAGTTTTTCAAACCTCTCTCTCCCGCAGGTTATCCCACCTACAAAGAAAAAGTAAAGAAAAGGCCTGGGGGCCGCCCGGAGGTGATTTACAACTATGTCCAAAGACCCTTCATCCGAATGTCCTGGGAAAAAGAGGAAGGGAAAAGTCGGCATGTAGACTTTCAATGTGTAAAGAGTAAATCTATTACCAACCTTGCAGCAGCTGCCGCAGACATTCCCCAGGACCAGCTGGTCGTTATGCATCCAACTCCCCAAGTGGATGAGCTGGATATTCTCCCCATCCATCCTCCTCCCAGCAACAATGACCTCGATCCTGATGGGCAGAACCCGATGCTGTGATGCTGGATGTCCCTTGAAACCATAGCATGCTACTCTGCACAGTGCCGTTGTGCTCTCCTCCCTGCGCTGCAAGGCCGCTCTCTTCATTGTGAATGCACACAGCAGTGTTTAGGAAATTGCAGGGTAGGCTTGTTTAAAGACCAAAGGTAGCTGAACGGTTTTGTTTTTTTAAGCGAGTACAACTCTAGCATCCTGAGGTTCCAGTTATATAAATGTATTTGTTTACCAGTAGGTTTGTGAAATTGGTTCTTTGTATGGGGACAGTCCTTTTTCACACATCTAGATCTTTTCAGAAGTGGTGGAAATTGGCAGCTGGGGGTACCTTCAGTCAAGATAGTACTGGTTTACACCCCAGATAAAATGCAGAATATTATATAGTTGCACTTTATAAGTGGTGGTTGAATGGAACTATTCAAGCCACCTTTATAGTTGTGATGCACAATAGAACTTAAACAAGTGCTTCTATCAAACCATCCTTCCAGTCAGGTGTCTAGTTTATTGCCCACCGAGGAGCACAAAAGGAGTATTTGCCTCTGGGTGTGTTTGAATGCTTAGGATGAGATTCCAGTTCAGATCTCCCCAGGCCGTTGTCACCCTTGAGCGTGAGTTACATGCAGGGAGAATGAACATCCGAGGTGGTGTTTTGTTCCAGTCTGCCTTACCCTTAATCTGTTCACAGATATTTATTTACTAATGCATTTTTTTCTTAAAGAGTTATGGGATAGGAAAATGAAGTGTTTGCTCTTCATTTACTAAATGATTGTAAACAAATTTTTCATCAAAATAAAATTCCATTGTTTTAATGTTTCAGAGCAACTTTATAACCACCGTAACCAGCTTTTTAGCTTCATAACTAGCAGACTCCCTGTCTTGTCAATGCAAACATAACTGGAGACCAGGCTGCAGCAGTTCAAGGTACTCCAGTTGGGTATGTGTGTGCTGTCGCACTGAGGTTCTCTGCTAACCATGAAATGTACTATAAATCCAAACTCTGGTGACCAGCACTGAGAAAAGGGCCTATTTTCTAGTCCCCCAGATAGGAAGCGTGAAATGGCTTCACTAGGTCATGGAGAGCTGATTTCAGACCAGCACTTTCCCCCTTCTGTGCACACACTCTCTTGTGTAAGTGATAGTTTTGTTAGGCTCAAGAAGGAAAGAGAAATCATTAAGTGCTTGGAATCTGGGGTCACTTACTGTTTGAAGCCAAAGAACTGCCAGCAGTAGAGAGGCCAGTTTGTCATATGTAAACTTGAATTTATAATTTCAGAGGATTTGAAGTTTGTGTTTAAGTATTAACATCTTTTATCTGACATAAGATAAAATTGCAACACTTTTGAAATGAACTATTTTAACAATACAGCTAAAGTAGCAGCACAGGGAAATTAGGCCCTGCCGGGGATGTTGGTGTACAGACAGCAGCCCTCACATCTACGGTGGAAAAGGGATGCTCCAGTTCTGTAGCAAGGAGGGTTTCTTTCTAAGTTAATCTGCAATGTGAACAGTAATTATAGAACAAGGGAAACATTTATTAAAAATATTTAACTGTCTAATACATTATACTTTAACCCATATTTATAGGAAAGGATTCTTACAAGGAAGAATAAACGGCTTTATGATACAATTAGTATAAGAAATATCCACGAAGGACTTCTTTGTAGTGTAAAAACACCATACATCCGAAATGACCATTTGCATATAAAAGCTACCAATGATGCTTCTGTGCACAATGATTAAAAAATTCAACACAAACAGAATCCAAAATATACAATTAATGCAAGCTATTCACAGCTAGCCCAATAATCAATGATGATGAAACACTGGAAGCAGGCTTAGTTCCACTTTGTCTGAAGTTACACAGGAAGATTGACTTGTATCGATGGCTCTGAGATGGCTTTTATGTAGACACTCCATAAAAGCGGTTCTCTCCTCATCCAATCGTCTTCACAGACTGTAAAGCTCCACCAGTAATGCACTTTGATACTGTAACTGTTGCCGCAGCAACCTGTCGCGTTTACAGCGGCCATGGTAAGTCGCTAAAGTCAACAGGGCCACCCAGTCCAGCATCTGCTTCCAAAAGGCTCATGATGACAGCCATTGCTGCTTCATCGTTGCTGGGACTACTTGAGCCCTGGTCATTATCTATCATATCTATACCTATGTGTGGGTTCTCACCTGTGGGAGGAGATAAAGGTTGGTCAGTGATCAAAAATAAAATACCAAAGCATGTTGAACGTTAAGCAATTCCTAAGCACACTTGTAATAAATTGACCTTTAACAAGGTGAGCAAGACCGCTGCTTAAGGCTGTGGGGCCGATACCAACTTTGGTGGGGGTTTTTTTCAGAACAAACCAACTTTTTTCCCCCCTAATCATTTTATTAGGGGCTCATACAACTTATCACAATCCATACATACATCAATTGTGTAAAGCGCATTTGTACATTCATGCCCTTATCATTCTCAAAACATTTCCTCTCCACTTACGCCCCCGGCATTAGGTCATTTTTCCCCTCCCTCCCTGCTCCCCTATCCCTCATGAGCCCTTGATAATTTATAAATTATTATTTTGTCATATCTTGCCCTGTCTGACGTCTCCCTTCACCCACTTTTCTGTTGTCCGTCCCCCAGGGAGGAGGTCACATATAGTTCCTTGTAATCGGTTCCCTCTTTCCAACCCACTCTCCCTCTACCCTCCCTGTTTCGCCACTCACACCACTGGTCCTGTAGGGATCATCCGCCCTGGGTTCCCTGTATTTCCAGTTCCTATCTGTACCAGTGTACATCCTCTGGTCTACCCAGACTTGCAGGGTTGAATTTGTATCATGATAGTGGGAGCGGGGAGGAAACATTTAGGAACTAGAGGAAAGTTGTATGTTTCATCGTTGCTATATTGCACCCTGACTGGCTCGTCTCCTCCCCGAGAACCCTCTGCAAGGGGATCTCCAGTGGCCTACTAATGGGCTTTGGGTCTCCACTCCGCACTCCCCCCATCATTCACTATGGTAAGATTTTTTGTTCTGATGATGCCTTATACCTGGTCCCTTCGACACCTCATGATTGCATAGGCTGGTGTGCTTCTTCCATGTGGGCTAAACCAACTTTTAAAAATAAGATGAAAGTGCTTAACAGTAAGTATTAAAAGTATTCAAGTTGACCTCAATATTGTGATAGAACCAATGAAGGGGGGAGCAGGTTATAGAAATAAAGGGAAAGACAAAGAATCTAGAAAAATAAGGAATAGATGGATGGGATGGGGAAGTGCAAACTTTTCATGGCTTACATGATTTTAATACGTTCCGAAATTCTTCATTGAACCTTCTAGGCTTTACCTGTGAACCTCTCTCCCTCTGAAAAGATGTACCCTATTGTGGGAGGAAGCCTGTCTAGGTGCCTATAGCCCCCTCGAGGTCCAGGGATAAACTTGGACCCTCAGCTACATTCAACCATTGAAGCCAACTTGGAAGTAGAGTTTTACACGAGCTTTACTTCATTCTTAACACATATAATTAGAGCTAGTTTCTTTGTACAATTCCAGCTCGGAAAGCTGACTCTGTGCCTGCCAGGTCTTCGGCAAGGTCCTTGCAATGGAATGAATAATGATGCCACTTACCAAGAATAGAAGAGTTATCCGAGTACGGATAACCTGGGTTCTCTTGAGTTTGCCCTGGTAGTAGGCCACTGGAAGGAATGTCCGGGGTCCCTCCATTTAAAATCTGCAAACAAAAGGAGAAGGTTTGAAGCATTCATTTGTGTAACTGTATTTCAGTAAGTGTTGTGTGCCAGGTCACCAAGAACAAGAAGCAAATGAAGACAGGTATAAGGAACTTTCAAACGGCTTCACTTTGGAAGATTCCTGTTGGATGCCTTCAAAGTAGGATTTGTTAGGAATGATCAGATTTAGGAAAAGAACCGCAACCACAAACTATTCTGCTCATTCCCCTCCACCCATTCAAGTAATTTAAAAGCTGAATAACATCCCAAAAGAGTATTCCATTACCTTAGGCTCTCAAACTTGGCTGACCATTGGAATCACCTGGGAAGCTGGGCTCCTACCCCTAAGATTCTAATTCATTTGGTTGTAAATGGAGCATGGGAATCTGTATTTTCACCAGATCCCCAGGTAATTCCAATCACTAGCCAAGATTGGGAACCTAGGCCTTAGAATCTAAAGCTTAGATCAGGGGTCCTCAAACTTTTTAAATAGGGGGCCAGTTCACTGTCCCTCAGACCCGTTGGAGGGCCGGACTATAGTTTTTAAAAAAACAACAAATTCCTATGCACACTGCACATATCTTATTTTGAAGTAAAAAAACAAATGGGGCCTTAGATCAAGTTTCCAAACTTATTTGACCTACCACCCTTGGCAATTAAGAACTTTCACACCATTGTTCACATGCAGGTTAAAGTGTAGGAATCAAAGCTTTTGCCCCTGCAACATCCCAGTGGCCCCAGGGAGGAGTTATCCACCCCCCTCGAGAAATGCTGCCTGGTATCAAGCTGCCTATGTTTGTTGAAGGCCAAGAACTAACTAGCCCTCAGTGAGCCCAGGTGGGCCTGGGCAATTCCCCTGCTCGGGAGTATGACATCTTACAGCAACAGATGATGTAACAGAGGCAATCAGTGGGGCAAATAAGCATGATGAAATCCAGCCCCAAGGAGTCACAAACTAGGAAAACACAAATCTCTCGCCATCAGGTATATCACAGTAGCCAGTGGCTTTTCTTATATAGGCCAATCAGGCACATCTTTAACACTCATCAAATGCACAATTCCAATTTTGTCTCAAACTATCGTCTTCTCCACCCTCTTCTTTCCGATACTCCCCAACCCCCGGAGCTGAGTCTCATGATACAGACCATCATTAGAGAAGTGTTTGGGTCTGGTTCAGTGACAACAGTTTTTGTGGTTGCTGGGTTTCAGGCGAGGTGGTGACTTCAAGACTTGCCAGTAGGTGGCGTAACAACTTCACCTCTGCATCTCACACACTTTTTTTTACAGGATCAGAAGTTACTGAAGACACCAAAGGAACCTTTCTTTGTTCATGCAGGTGATATTTATCAATATTTACTACATTCAAAGTTAAAATGAACACATTTTAAAATCCAATAAGCATATTACATGTTAACAAATTTTAATGAAAAGTAATGCCTTTTTCCAAAACAAATGGGTGAAAAAAGTATTGTTTTTACATTACTGCCAAGCTAATTTATAACTTAATATAAGACAGCTGGATTTTCATTGTTGCTTCTGACTTGGGTCTGCCCTGATGCGATGTTTTGGTTGAAGCTGACGAAGAAAACCTGGCTTCGCACAGGTAAGTATTTGGCAAAGGGCGCTGCATCTTAATAGCCTTCGCAGATCACTGTGGTACGCTTTCAAAGTCCACAGTGGGAGTTTCTTAAAGTGAGTTGTAATGTGGAATCTGAACCCTATCAGTGAACTTTCTGTTCCTCCGTTACATTAGAATCAATTGGCAAATCTTCACACTTGGATGGATCTTTGGTTCTCGCCTAATGTATAAGTCTCTGCCATTGGTCATTTGGAAAATGTTGGTGTGCTGAGTTAGCAGATCCGAATGCTGGCACATTTCATTATACTTTGTTAATACCACCCATCGCATCTGAAAAATCTTAAGTTTGAGGAAGCTGTTGGGCTCACAGTCAGCTGTGTTTTTTCTTGAAACAATAGACTTTTTGCTTGAAAACTCAGATTGTGTCGTTGGCAACAAATGTCCCATAACACCCCTACGTACAACAGAAGGAATGACACGCTGCCTGGTCCTGCACCACCCTCTGCGTCCTGATGCTTGAGCCCACTCCTGGAATTAACCACTGGGGTAATTCATCTTATTACGGGCAAGAGATACCATCACTTCATTTCCTGGAGGTGAAGGTTCACTTCATTCACTTTTCAGGAATATCTTAACTAAATGCCCAATCTGAAAAGCCGCACAAGTGCTTTTCCAAAATGAAGCAGGTTTTAAAGACTTGCTGGTTTTTAACGGCTCGTGTGTGGCACTGAAGAGTACAGTGGCGACCAGGCGCGGCGGTGCCACTGCCGTGGTGAGTGCCACAGCACCGGCAGTTCCAGCCACACGGCTTTGCGTGGTTCGGCGCACAGGTTACGGCACGATTCTGATTAGAGTTGTGACTTTGGGGATCCCAGAAGGGTTTGAGGGCTCATCTGGAAGACCACGAACTGCCCTTTGAAACTTGCTTTCTCTGAAGCTGCCTGCATGCCCCTGCAGCCCAAACTTCTTTCCAGGGCCTCGTCGAGCTCACTGGCTTCCCCTTTTAGCTTGACCAGGGCTGAAACGGCTGGCCAGCTAAATGGCTCATTTGGGGACTTTGTCAAATTTGAAAGTGACTCAGACAAGCTAGGAGCTCTTCCCTCACGTGACTCTGGTGCACTGTTGACGGTCACTATCACCTTTAGCTCCAAGATGGCTTTTTTTAACAGGATATTGTTGATTTCCTTTCTTGAAAGGAGCTGTGTAAATATATACAGTAAGTTTCTTTGACAACAAAGCCAAATAGTCCTCCAGTTTCCTTATCCCTCAAAACTAAATATAGGGCTCAGTGGCCAAAAAACATACTACCCAAAACCCCCCAAAAGTGGAAAAGTAAAATTAATGGACTTGGAGTCTTTAATGACAAGATCATCTCAAAAAAGGTGGGGAGGGTACTAAAGGCAGCAAAAGTCTGACAATTTAGGCAACCGCCCTGGTTCTACAGAAAAGTTGTGGGGTCACACTAATCAAGCCATCCAGAGTACTGCTTGTGTTGTGTTGACTAAATCAATGTACATACATACACATCTAAGGAGAACAGTACCCCAAGTTCCCTTCCATTCTCCCCCGGTTCCCAGCCCCATGGTATAAATAAAATGACACCATCCCTGTATAGGCTGGCTAGTTAGGTCATGTCAGTTTACCAAGCCACTCTGGGTCAGGGGGTGAACAAGAAACACAATCAGATGGGGATAGGGATGGGGGGGGGGGGGGGGGGGG